TGGCGGAGGCGGAGGGCGGGGAAAGTCTCCTCCGAGCCGCCTGGAGCCGGCAGCGCGTGCCCTCCCCAGGTCCCCGCCCTTCCCGGTGGCGCCGCGCGGCTGCCCGGGGCGCGGGGGTGCCCGAGCTCTCCCCGCCCGTCACGCCGGCCCGCGGGAAGCAGCGGCTAGAGTCGCTGGCCAGGAGCGCCCGCTCGGGCCTCAGGGTCGCGGGCGGAGGCGAAATAAATAATGCACGAAAAAGGAAAACAGACGTGAGCGGAGCCCGAGCCTCGCCCGCCTCCCGCCCCGGACGGCTGCGCTCCCGCCCGCGCTCCCCGCCGCCGCCGTCCAGGCCGCTGCAGTGATTCCTCGTCTCCATCTAGCGAGGCTATTGTGTATTGGGCGCTTAATAATTTATTTATCCACCCGCGAGGTAAAGGACTCCTAGCTCCCGAGGGCCTTGCTCCTTGCCTGCCCTCCCCCCTCGCCAAGTTTCTCCGAGGCGGCGGGAAGTGGGTAAGGACTGACTTGTGGAGACCCCCTTTGCACCCTGTCCCTGCAGACTCTCTCCCCGCCCCCGCCCCGTTCGGAGGGGGCGAAGATGCCCCGGTTGTCTCGGCTCCAGGTCCAGGCCGCCCCTCCCAGAGCCGAGTGCTGTGTTCTCCCTTCAGTAGTCCGAGAGGGAGGTACCTCTCCAGCCACCGGCCTGCATCTTGGAAGGACTTGCCAAGGACCTGGGGAGGACCTCTCCACCACTGCTTTCCCCCAGTCATCTAAACTCCTCTGTTTGAGGCGAGATTATCAACAAGTCGGTGGGGAAGTAGCTCCTTAACGTTTCTCTCAAGCAAGCTCCCCCGCCCCAGGCCACAGCACAGGTATGCGCAGTCGCTCTGATAATTCCGTGGAAGTGCTTGGGAAGCGCTTTGGTTAATAGGGTGACCTTCCATAGGGCCCCCCTCCCCCCAGGCATGGAGAATCCTATTTTTAGATTGGGTGAAGGAACCAGCAGCTCAAGACAGAGAGCGGAGAATCAGACACATTAGCTCATTCTTGGAGGAAACATTCACTCAGTTCCTTTCCCTAGTCTCTCTTGGCACCCTTAAGTCACCCCACATAAACACACACTCTGAGTATAAACTGCTCTGCAAACCAGCTTTCAGACCAATTTCCTAGTGACCTCTTTCATGCAGAATGCTGACCCAGGGCTTTTCTCCGTATCAACTGTATAGAACCATATCTGAACCAGCGAGATTCTTGGACATCAACATGAATGAGGCCCTGTCCCTTCCTCTAAGAGCTTGGGGTCTGATCTGGGAGACAGATAATAAAACTAGCCATTCCACTGTCCGCTGGCATTCCACTGTCAGCTGTGGTGTGACAAAAGGACCTCAACTGAAGGGGACAACAGAGCCATGAAGACTGGAGGGACCCTCCGTCAGTAAATGCTTCCATGATTGGGTGGCCTGCCGGGAGTTGGGGAGTATCTCAAGCATGGGACCTCCTTGGGCAAAAAAGTGGAGATACTTGTTCATTTGTTCTTTCATTCCATACATAGTGTCAGAGAACACCTGCTAAGTGCCAGATAGAGCATTTGATGCTGGGTGTACAACAGTGAGCGATCAGATCTTGTTGCTGCCCTTAATGGATTCACCATGGAGCCAGAAGGGATGGAAGGAAACGTTGGTATTGGTGGGGAGGGGGTTCCTAGATGACTTTCTTTCACTAGTGGTTTGAATGAGGCCCAGAATGATCCCCATTGGTCAGCTGAGGTCAAAACAACACTGAGTATTTTGACACCTTTCTACTTGAGCCAGCCAGGGTATCTTGTTCAGTACATGACTTCAGTCTGTAGATATGACATCAGCCCCTGAGGTTTATACATGGAGCTCATTGCTACTTAAAAATGTTCTTAAATCACATTTTAATTCATTTCTCACAGCTCTGTGAAGTAAATATAATTGGTCCATTTGACAACTTCAGAGACATGACTTCCCCAGGATCACCCAGCTGTTCACCTGCGATTCAGAAGTACTGACCCTCAACCAGAGGTTCAATATTTCGGGAGAACCTGGGCAGGTTATGCATGTTGGAAAGCCTGCATTATTCCCCCTGGTCTTCAGTATTCCTATACTGGATCCAGTCTGTGTACCTCTTGAGTGTCACCTGGCTCCACATCCTCCTGGTCCTCCTAACACCATGGAATGTCACAACCTTCTCTAGGGTGAAGACATGCTCTGTCAAGGCCCTCTTGTGCTATAGCAGAAGCCAGGGAGGCTCTGGCTCCTCTCACCCCTCTGGACTCATATGACAACGCACACCATGGTACCTGGGATCTGCCTACTGGAGCCAGGTAACTCTACTCAGACAAGTGGGGAGTTAAACCCTGGAGCAAATTTTGACCAATGAAAGACAAGAGATGGGAGGGACCCAGCATGTGGATTGTAGTTGTTCCATTTAGCCTGTCAGGAGATGTCCAGTGGGCATGACTGAATAACTGGCAAGGTTTTCTTCCAAAGATGCAACCAGCTAGATAACACACAACCTTGTATTTCTGCCCTCCTTCCTTCCTTCACTTCCTTTTTCCCTTTATTTGTCTTGCCCTAGGATTATAGTCCTCAATTATGTGTTAACAAGCAAGCACTTCTTTATGCTCTGTCTCCTAAGGAACCAGGGACAATTGGTGCCACAAGTGACCCAGAAAGCAAATCTCCAGGATGGGATGTTGGAGCTGGATTTCCCATCTACCTGGTAGCAACAGGAGCCCCATTACTGAAGGTAAGCAGGTTGTATCAGGCATATAGTTTTAAAGGAGTGAAGTAGGATTGGCCCCACTGAGCCCAGCTGTCGGTGAGAGACCTGCAGACTCTGTGCCTCTTGTTCCTGCGAATGTAGACTCTGAAGGGTTAGTGGTCTCGGCTCCTAGAAGGTGAAGCTCCCACCAATGTACACAGTAAGGGCTGCTCTAGGCTGGAAGCTGTAACTACTACCTGGGCACCTTGGGTTTCTCTTGCCAGTGGACCAGCAGTCAGAAGGAGGAGTTTGTATGCCAGCGGGGTGATCGTCCCTGATTACCATGGGGAGCTGGGCTTTCTGTTAGATGGTAGGCACAGGGAAGAGCATGTCTGGTGCTGTGGACTGAATTGTGTCCCCCCACGCCATTCATATGTTGCAGCCACAGCTCCCCAATATGACTTTATTTGGAGAAATGGTCTTTAGGAGGAAATGAAGGTGAAATGAAGTCATAAAGGTAGGACCTTAATCCAGTAGGATTGGTGTCCTTATAAAAAGAGGTAGAGAGATGAGGGTGCTCCTCTCTGTGTGCGCTCAGAGGAAAGTCCGTGTGAGACAAGACAGCCATCTGCAAGCCAGGAAGAGAGCTCGCACCAGAACCCGGCTCTGCCGGACCTTTGTCTGGGACTCCACCCTGCAGCACTGGGAGAAAATGAATTTCTGTTGTTCAAGCCACCCAGCCTATGGTATTTGGTTATGACAGCTCGAGCTGATACTCTGGGATTCACTGGGGCTTCTCTGCTCAGAGGTAACATGAATGGGCAATTATGACATCCAAAGACCCTCCAGGTAAGAACCCCAGACCAGTTGAAGAGCTGGCCTTAGAAACCTAGGATGGGAGGTGTGGGCAGGGGAAGATGATGGATGTCACTTATGGCCTGAGGACCAGCTGCGGCAGCGGGGCTATGGAGCTTGACTTCCTAATGCTTTTGCGTCTTGTTAGGGAGTTACAAAACTTGGCCACTTCAAAAATTGGACTCGTACCTTCACTCTCAAGTTAATGGTAGCTTTTCCTAAGTTAGATACAAATATCATGTGAGGATGTGAAGAGTTCTGAATAATGCAAGGGGTGGACTGTGCTGGACCCCATTTATGCACCTAGATTTGTTTGGCTCCACCTACCTCCTCCCTTTGCTCAGTGGAGAGGGCAGACGTCACCATCATCGTCCCATCTCCTAACACTGAGGCTGTCTTAGCCTCAGCTTCCCCCAGGGCAGAGCTGAGCTTCAGTGTGGCCTCCATCATGCCCACTGCGGGAGGGGCCCCAGCGGCAATGGTGCCAAGGCCAGCCTGACCAGACTCATGGAGCCACACGCTGTGGTAGGTGGGATCTGACTCCCAGCAGCTGTCCATAGGGACCAAGAAACCCGACCTGAAAGTGTAGAGAGTTAACTCCCTGTAATATGAACTTTGATCAAGGAGAGACAAGGGTCTGAAAGATCTGGTAGATGGTCATTCTCCCCTTTTCCATCCGTGGTTCCACAGGCCTATTGGAATCTGTCTTGTGTGACTGAGCAGTTGGCTGTGGTCCCTGGCAAAGCTCAGTGACCTGAGCCCCACATTTCTTTTGCTTTCCTTTCCCTGCCTCTCTGCCTGTTCCCCTCAATCTTTCTGACCTGGAAATTCACCCGTCCCAGACACAAAAATGTGTTATTACTTCTGCTTTTCTTCCAGTTCCCTTTCCTGGGGAATTTAGGCTTAGACAAGTTCTTGGAGGCTTCATGGGCTCTAGAGGCTGTGTCCAGATGTGAAAAATGAAGTGGGATACCGCAGCAACCAGGATGTTTCATATCTGCAACATCTGCAGGACTGCAGCCATTTGAAAGGGGTGGTTCCTTAAGCATCCAGATGTCCCTCCTCAGGCCTCCACTCCTGTGCATCCAGGCAGGTTCCAGGTGGGAAGAGTGTCTCATGTGTCAAGAACACCAGCTCTTGGGCCAAACTGCT